GGCCTCCCAGAGTGCTGGGATGACAGGCGTGAGCCACCACACCCAGCTGGCTCTTTTAAGCCTTATTTAATGCAGCATTTCTTAAACTTACTGGATCTTAGAATCCTTTTAAAGAGGAGCACATCTTAGTATCTCAGGAGGCACAGATATTCCACAGGGCAGTTTGGAAAACACTGGATTCACCTCAGTGTTTAAAATGAAACTCATTTCATTGAAAAAGATAAAGATGAAGGCACTTCTTCATTCGAAGAGGTTACAAATATTCGAGTAGGGTTTCTGTTACCAGGTGAATTTTCTCTGTTGTCAAACCGAGAAAACTTTACATCTGCTTTGTAAAACCCCTTCCATTCCCTCCACACCCACGTCCTGCTCGAGCAACAGTAGCAAGTTTCACCAGCTGACGGCCTTCCTCACTGCCAGTTCTACCAGGGGACAGAGTAGTCACAGGCAAAGGGCATTTGAATTCAGCACAGAAGCTGCCACCATGTGTCAGGCACCCTGGATCCCAAGTTCAGTAAACCTGGGACCTACTTCAGGAAGCTTACAACTAGGCGGGGCAAGTTGCCTTGGGAAGGAAGGATGTATGTGATAATGAAAGCACTTCTAACTGTCACCACTGACACCTGCTTCTCTGACCTGCTCAGCAAGTTGAAAGAACTCGAGCTCTTGATAATGAAAAATGAGGCCCAAATCGGTGACATGCTCACGGTGCCCTCTTCACCAGGAGGGAAAGGTAGTGTCATTGAAGGGGAGTGCTTGGGGTTACCTAGACACAGCCGCAGGAGTGAGCCACTCCTTGTGGGATGCACCCCTTGTTACATTACTCTTTTGGAAATTCTGACTTTCTCGTGGTTTCCGCTTTTCTTTTGCCAGAAGCATGTTTAAATGAGTTCAGGGCACCCAATGGCTCCACCTGCCTCATTGGGAGCCTTGCAATGAGGCCCTTCTGGTCGGAGGCAGTCCCTTCTTCCCTGTGTCCCTCTGTCCTCAGGGCAGGGTTCTCTGGTCTTGGTCCTTCCCCCCCAGGCTGCTGTCACACTCTTTTCCTCTCATCTTCTCATCTGCCTTTTTAAAAAAGTGGGACAAATAGAGCTGCTTACTTGTTTGATTTTGGGACAGTCTCTGTCACCCTGGCTAGAGTGCAGTGGCGTCATCATAGCTCACGGCAACCTCAAATTCCTGGGCTCCAGTGATCCTCCTGCCTCAGCCTCCTGCGTAGCTGGGACTACAGGCGTGCGCCACCACACCCGGCTAATTTTTCTATTTTTTGTAGAGATGAGGTCAGGAGTTCGAGACCCGCAAGTGCAAGACCCCAAGTGATTCTCCAGCCTTGGTCTCGCAAAAGTGCTGTAATTACAGGTGTGAGGAATAGAGCTCCTGACAGGTACCCCAGGGGTCTGCTTTATCAGCCTGCAAATAGGGCATTCGGGGCAGTATTTACAAGGTGGTGGTGAGGACTTCTGCTAAGAGCCCTTGAAAAATCAGGGGACAGGAACTTCCACACCCAGCATAAATTCATAAGCTTTGATTTAGGAATAGAGTGGATCACTGAAGCAATGACCTAAGATAGAGCTGATATTCAGAGTTGCATCCCCAGCCTGAAACCAGAGGCAGAGTTTGAAAACAGGGACTCTTCAGTTTTTGAGGACGCCATCATCACATAAAAGATGGTGACATCACCTCCCACCCATAGCTTGAACGGCATCACTTAAGAACTAAAAGTATAAAAGTTAGTCCTTAACTGATAAAATGGAAACTAAACTCTGGGGATAGAACTGTGTCACCACTTCTTTGTATTTTTACTGAATTTTATTATGTTTTTAAAATTTCTGCCCAGTTATGACAATGAAATGAGAAACCACGATTACGATTCACAAACCATGGCATGAAAAACAACACACACCCCGTCAGGAATTACACCAAACCCTTTCCTTTTTATTCATTCAAAAGAGAATCAAATGCACAAGTGTCAAATATGAGCACTGTCATTTTTTTTCTTAGAAGGGGGAAAAACATTTATTCTGGCAACGCTTTTACAATTCCAGGAAGTGGTTTTGATACCACAAGCTGCAGGAATAGAAATCATAACAAACTTGGAGGGCATTTGGTTGAGAGGCAAGGGACTTCTTGGGTGGAAAAAAAAATTCCTCTTGTGCTTAGTGAATTTGCCTGTCGGTCTTGGCTGGCCGCTGAGTCTTCCCAGGTGTCGAAAGAGAAAACAGAATTTCCTGCATAGACAGCCGAAAATTCCTGTCGAGCACAATGTTTTCTGTATCTGCAACCCTCCTCCCACCCTGAAGCAAGTTCTCAACGCTTCTCTGGAGCTTCTTTGGTCACATGATTCTGTCATGTGGACCCTTTTGCTAAAACACCTGTGACACCAAGGTTTCTTCTTCTTCTGCTTCTCTAGGGTTCAGATGACAGCACAAAACATCACTTGTCAAATGATATTAAGAATGTGGGCATTTATGCTCATGATAATAAACACTGTGCAGGGTGTGGCACCCCAAGGAACATTTTCTTTTTTTTTTTTTGTTTAATATGGTCCCTTGGGGAGTTTGCCCAAAGTCACACACTGGTAAAGTTGGTTAATTTGACAATTTAGAAACTGTCTTTGGGCCAATTTAAAAACTCTTATTGCCCAATAATTCAATGCTCCAAAAATCAATTAAATGTTACCATTCGGTTTTACGCACACACTCATGCCCACATCCGAGAACTGTGACAAAGAGATTAACCAGATGAATCTTGGGACTGTGTTTCTAAAGAAAAATCTCAAACTGGAGGTGTCCTATTCAAGTACTCAAAAATGCAAAAACAGTCTGATCCCAATTGATTTTGTGATCATAAGAAATCCTACTTGTTTAGCTGGAAGTTTTGGGGTCAGTGAAGTTAACTCCTGGGGCACAAAATACAGAAATCAATTTGTTGAAATGTAGCTGCGTGTTATTTAAAAAAAAAAATGTTGAGGCTTTGTATACTGTGGCCTTCCAAGAGTCAAGAAGTAAGAGTAACACCAGCTGACTCACTTTTCTTGTCTGACACTGGAGAGAATCACTTAGTTTTACAGATTTTCAATCAACACTCAGATGAGGCAGATGTAACTAGAGTCCTTTATATTCTTCAAAGAATGTGTTACTATTGCAGCAGATGCTGTTTGGCCCCAATTAGGAGTAGAAAAGAAAGCAATTTGTTTAGTTTGCTTTTTTTTTAAGTTTTACTTTATGGAGATTTTAAAACAAGGGTCTCACTAGTTCTCGGCAGCAGACTGTCCAGTCAGAGGCTCTGTACTTATAAATAACCGATGTGGCATTATTCTCTCCAATTAGGAAGTTCACTATCTTAAGGCCTCCCCGCCAGATGTGGAGGGCTTGCAATGTGCTCTGCTAAATTTCGCAGACAGTTCTAGAAAAGGAAGGTAATTAATTATTAGCGGAGTTGTTTGCATGATTCAGAACTGACTCCTGATTATCTTGAGCTATTAAAAGACAGGATTTTTATGGACTCTGTCCCCGAAGGCCCCACTGTGCCCAATGATTTATAAGCAGGAACCTTTACTGCAAAGGAAGGGGACACTGTCAGAAATGCACGTTTAAGGGTCTTGCTGATTACTGGCAATCTCTTTGCACCAACACTTAATCCATAAATTTTTTTTTAATTGGAGAATTAAAGAAAAAAAAGGCTTACACTAAAATAAGAAATCAGGCCCATCTTGGCACAGTTCTCATGCAGAATATTGCACCCAGTGTTAACTAATGCTAGAAGCTTCAAACTGTATAAATTTAAATGTATTCTGCATATTATAAAAATAAAGATAAACATATACATATTTTACACTAGTTACGGAACAGCAATGAACGTCAGTCGATCCCTCTTTCACATTGAACAGAACTGAAATCTGAGTGCTCTAAATACTGCCACCTGTACTGCAATATGGCTTATATGTGCACGGAAAACAAAATCCCTGAGAAGCCATTCGACTTTTTTGTTTGTTTCTTTTCTTCAAGTAGCGCTCTCCTTGGAGGATCACAGTTCTGAGGTTCAGGTTGTAAAACATTTGCTCCATTTATCTCGCCCGTCCTCCCCACCTCTGAAAGCGCCCCGAGTGCTTAGTCACTCGAGTTCACAGAACACGCTGGGGAGGGTGAAGGGTTCGCCGGGTACAAAAGATAATCCAGGGGAGTTCGGATGCTCTCTTTTCTCCACGGAAATTCCACAGCCGTCAAAGTCACTGGTTTCTGTGCTTTTCACCAACATTCTTCCTATAAGGGTGGAACAAAAGAAAGCAAAGAAATGACAAAAGGGGCTAGACAACACTATCCTCATTTATAAGAAAAGAAAATGATGCATAAAGCTATTTCTGCATAGATTTTCATTTCTACTTCTAGAACTCCTTATAATATGTAAATGGCAGGCAACTCATGTCCCCACGAAGGAAAGAGTCTTTTCAGTAGTAAATTTGCCAAACATTTCTGTTAGTGATGTTCAGCTCAGTTCAGCCCTAACCCAGGAACTGCACTAATTGGCTCTCACCACTTACTCTCATTGTAATTTTACAGAGTAACCAGATCTCTAATTAACCACCCACAACTCTAAACACAGAACTGCTTCCTTCCAATAAACACAGACACACACTAAATAACCCCCCAGGAGTAGGAATATATACTAAAACATGACCTGTCTATCTAGACTGTACAGCATGATTTATCTTAAAATGTTATAAGTGAAGTTTGCCAACAAAAATCTGGAGTTTGATGAATATAAAATGAAAAAACTGTTGCATCCTCAGTGAATTAACCCAAGTGGCATTCAATTCAGACAAAATGGTTATGGGAAAAAATGTCAAATATTGTGATCCCTTATTTCAGCTTTCTTACAATGACATGCGAAAGTGGTTTGGCGACATTGAAAGGAAAGGGGAAAAGAGTTATGATCTATTGTCCCCAAAACCCCAACTCTCTTAATGCTGCTTGATTTCATGGACACTGATAAGTCAATATCCACCTAAGACATCTCTCCAGCCCACACAAGAATCAGCTGTGGGCTTGTTCAAGCATGATGATAAATGACATCACCAAAAATAAGCCCCTTCCAGTTACTAACCACATGCATTGTTTCATTAATCTTCAACTCCTAAAAATCCTGCCAGGTAAGCTCCATCTTACTCTGCATTTTACTAAGAAGGAAACTAAGGTTTTAAGAGTTGGAATAATTTCCCTGAGGGTACATACTGGTGAGTGGCAGAGCCGGGCCTTTAACTAGAGTTGTCTGACTCCAAAACTTGCTCAGCAGCTGAAAGAGAGGTTGGATATTCGAGGCCCTAGGGATAGTTTCACATTTCTATGGAACTCGGCCGTGAGCACTTTTTGGAGGCCTATTAATATAGTAAACTCCCGGTAAGAGAAGGTTCTGCAAACTGCTCAAATTCAAGTAATAACATAATAAATCTAACTGAGGAGAGGATGGCAGTGTAAAAACACACTTCTCAACAAGGCAGTTAACTTGGGTGGTGTGAGTTTCGGATTCATGGGGGAGACGTGCTATGTAAACATTTTTCACTGCATCTAAACAACCTTTGGAAATGCAGAGTGTCTGGCTGTCTGCTCCCCCCACCCCGGGGCAACATGTTAGACTGAGAAACACAAGAATACCTAATCAAAGGCACCAGGAAAGAATATTCCACTGTCCCACAGCGATACCTACATCTGGTCTCTTAGGGAAAAGAGCCATCAAACTGTCACCTTCTCAATAATGTGGTCTTTCTTCATCCTTCAAGATCCACCCCAAATACTACTTCCTGAGACTTTTCCCGAGTCTTCCTGGTAGAGTTCTTTCTTTTCTGTGCTTCCAGGACTTTGTTAATACACCTCTCAATGGCAGGTGCCACATTTTAATTACTATTAGACACAAGTTCATCTGGTTATTTCTTTGATTCTCATTCTCCCCAAGGAGGCCATTAGATTACTGAGAGCGGGGTCTCATATGGTTATTTCTAGGCCCTCAACACCGGGCACAATGCCTGCTGGAGGGCAAATGCTCAACAAAGATCTGCTGAATGAAAGGGGAATAAGACGTGATGAAAAGACCACAGGTAAAAAGCAGCCAAGATATACTGTGAGATCACTGCCCTCGTGGAGGTATGTACAAAGTAGGGGAGAGATGTGACGGAGTGTGGTTAGAGGCATTAAGGGTGGCTTCCCAGAGGAGCTGGCACATAGCCCTGGCCATCACTGGGTAGGAGGGAAGGGTGGCAGCCAGCAGAGCACCATGGGGGACCTCCCACAGTAGGAGAGTGGGGGCCTAGAGGGAAGCCTGGGGCCAAAGAGAAAGTTACAAGGTCAAATTCCCTCATGTCAGGCCACACTGATAAGATGGGCTAACAGGTGATGGTGAACGAATGTACCTGGGGAAGACATGGAAGACAATAAATCCAGATGTACACCCTAGAAACCTATAGGACATCCAGTGGTGCTGCTGGGTAGGACGTTGGAAATAGAAGTCTGGACCTGAAGGGCAGGGCCAGCCTGTGGGGCCCAGACCCCGAATCATCCAGGTTAGAGAACCTGCTCAAAGACCATCAAAGAAATCAGGACTCAAGGTATTTAGAAGCTTAGGCTGAAATTGAAGCCATAACACTTTGGGTCTTTGCTGATCTCAGAGGGACTCTCCATCCCAGGGTGGGCAAATTCCTAGAGATAGTAAAGAGAGAATAAACAACGCATCTGAGGATGCACTTTCCAAATATAGTCCAACTAGGCCTGAAACCACACCCCAATCAATGCCTCTATCCGGCTTTCTTGCCCCAGGGCCAGGTACCAGGCAACTGAGGACAACCCCTGTGCCCCAGAGCCACTGAAATGGTCCAAGCTAGCCGGTCCTAGGCCTGCATATCCTGCCTTTCCATTCTTTCCCATGGAAACCCCAATAAGTCCCTCCCTCCCTCTGCTTGTGATGCCCTGGTGCTGCCTACATCGTCCCAGATGGTGTGGATCCAGCTGATTTGATATTCCTGCATAATAGGACATTTTTAGAAAAATGATTTCTTTTCCAACATGGATCTCAGATTGCTGATATATATATATATACACACTATCATAGTAAATTAAGCAAAAGAGTCAAGCAGTTTCCTTATTTCCAACTGCAACTTGATTCTAAATAAGTAAAAGATTTGTCATCTTAAGATGTCCTACTCTGTGGAACCCCTTCATCCCCACACCCCCTTCTTACCCCTAAACTCTCCAAGGGCTCAGGGGGGCCTTACCTATTTAAGAAATTCTCTCTGCTTCACAGAGACTTACCCTTAAAACTTGGTGCTCCTAAAGTCACAGTTTGGGTACAGTAAAAATGATGGCATAAGGAAAAGATGCACTATCTTTTCCACTTAATTTTCCAAGAAAGTATGAAGATACCTAAGCAGAGAGGGGAAAAATTCCAGTATCAATGTGGCTGATGGGAGACTAAAGAAAGAAACACAATGTCTCTAGGCTACAGAAGTAGCAAGGCTATGTGCTTTCTCATTCTGCATAGAAAACAAATCGATGCAAATCAATGTGATGCGACCTCACTTAGCCTTTTCTTAGGAAACACCGGCCCATCCCCACCCTCCACGTTCTAGAATTCTGTGGAGAGTGAAACAATCGCCATTGTGATGAAGCCAAATTCATCCTCGCTCCATTGCTTTTTAAAGAAATCTTTATCAAGTCTATACTAATTAATGTGGGTGAAGTTAGACTCTTGCTTGAATGGGAACTTTACAGTATAGAGGCAATAATCTACGATTTTAAAAGGGAATTTTGAAATGCAGTATCTCAGCCTTGCCTTCTATTTTTAGTAGTACTTAAGGGAAAAGCAGAAAGCATAGCCCAACAATTTTCAAACCAGCCCACTTTTTGCTAATCCTGTAACAGGTGACCTGCCAAGATCAGAATTAACATCTTCAATCTCAGAACTCCCACTGCTCCCCAGAAGATGGAGCACACACAGACCTGGGACCACCACAAGAGAAAGTGTCCACTGTCAAGAAATAAAAATGATACAACCCCATTTCCTGTAAGTTCAAGGGTGAGTCCATTAAGAAACCACATGGAAGAATGTGGGCTACATTCCAGGATGCCTCAAGGTAAAACATTTCCATACGCTAACATGTCGAATTCTCTCCACCTTTTGCATAAACATCAGTAGGTAAATTGGGTTATCCGGCAGTTTATCACAGAGTCATACAGTTTAGTTGGTGCTGGAGGAGGTTGGTCTAAACCTTTTTCAAAGGGAAACATTCAACAGGGCAAATAAAAATGAAATGCAAATCCCAAACTGCCATTTGTCCAAAGCAGCTCACATCCCCTGGGAATTGGAATATTGTGTCTCAACTTGAAGAGCAACTGAACAAAGATAGGAATTTACAAAAGACTATCTCTTCTACTTGCTTCCTACTTTTTGCCCCCATGTCCAAGGCTCAGCACCCCTCAACTATCTTGGGGTTAATTAGGCTGCCACGAAGAAGTAATGAAGGGGACCCCCAACCCTCCAAAACAGCCACACCTCTTCACTGCGCAGGAAACAGGGCTCAGCAGTCATGGTAAAGTCAACTCATTGCCTTTCCACTGAACTATGCCTGGGATAACATGTGTTTATAAGAACTTCTTCAAACCTCAGAAATCTGCTTCATACCAACACACCAGCCAGCAAAACCACTCCTCAAAGTAGTGCTAAAAAGTTTTCCTGACTGCATAGAATAAGGTATTGTGTTAGACCTCAGTGACTAGCAATAGGCCCAGGGTTTCTTTGGGGGTGAAGAAAATGTTCTAAAATTAGATTGTCGTGATGGTTGTACAACTCTAATAATCACTGAATGGGTGAGTTTATGGTATAGAAATTATACATCAAAGCTTTAAAAAAACATATCTCACACAATCCACGTCCTCAAGGAAGTCAGGGTTTTCAGAGCAACCCAGGCAAAATAGCTAAAATGAACAGTCACCCAAAGTATGAAATTACTCACGTTTCTATCTGATAATCAGCAAAGAGGAAGCCATTTAGCTCCTGTTTCTCCCTGGAAGATGAGGTACAGGAGGGGACAAATTTCATTCAGTTCCTGTAGCCTCTTCCCAATGGAAAGACCTCAACCACTGAGACAAGTTATAAGAGTAAAACTGCATGGTTTTTTTTGGTGGGGGGGAGGTAGAGACAGGTTTCACTATGTTGCTCAGACTGGTCTTAAACTCCTGAGCTCAAGAGATCCTCCTGCCTCAGCCTCCTAAAGTTTTATTACCTATTCCTTACTGTCTCTCTCCCCATGCGGGAATAAAACACCTAGAAATCCTTTAAAATGAGAAATAGAAAAGCTTGGAATTCATAATTAAAAACAACTAACAATCATCCATGTTTTTTTCTTTATAAACCGCATTGCAGTACCGTTATTTTTATACAGAAAGGCAGGCAGCTAGATGCCAAGTCTCTGATTTGACCTATAAAAGGAAGGGGTAAACTAGTCAAAGAAGGGCATGTCTTTTTAAAAACCATCATAAGCACTGGATCAGTGCATTAAGAGTAGGGTGATTATTCTGGCATGCCTGGGACTGTTCTGGCAAAAATGATAATAGCTAGCCTTCCTGTCGCTCCTGATCCCGTCTTGATTTGAACAGTGGAACAGACTTCTCTGTGGCTAACGACAAGGCAGCATGCACAGTTCTGCGTTGGTGCTGCCGACTGATTACAGACCAGAGAGGGGTCCTAAGGCCTTGCTAGCCAGAGAGCCCACCCATAGGGGATGGAAGGCATCTGAGTGGCCAGAAAGTCCAGCAGACACACATTAGAATCATCTGGGTGGCTGTTTTAAAGACTCATGTCTGGTCCCTCCCCCACGAAATTCTGACATACATGGCTGATTTGAAAAACCCAATCTGTATGGTGACCTGCTTAGGTTAGTTAACTCGCCTCAAATTGCAAAGCGAGTGTAACAGCCCCAACACCTAGTGCCTGCGGGGACCCCAAGGCTCAGCTGTGTTGACTTAACGATTACCTCCTTTGACAGCCTCCTCATCAATCCTCCCAAATCTCCTGCATCCGATACATTGTCATCTTGTCAACCAGACCTTCCACTGGGCCTGGGTTATGTTTCTCTCGTGTTCGGGGATACAAGCTGCGTATGCTTCAGGGGGCTGGGAGGTGGGCTTCGAATCTAAGAGTACCTTTACACCAGTGGTCGCACAAAGCAACATTTTCTCCTTGCCTCCACACTAAAAAATGGTAATTTCCAAGAAAAGTCTTGCCAGGAATGTGAAACTTTCCTATTTAGAGAATATTCCTTCATTTAGAGTTGAGAATTATATTGCAAAGTTGTCATCCATTTGATGAAACCTTTTTTTGACGAATTTCAAAATAAAACGATCTGGATAGTGCAATCAAAAGTGGACAAAGAGTGCTCCCTGCCTCCAGCATCCAGCTGTCAGTGGCTGTGTGCCTCTGGTTACCCCAGACTTTAAGGCTACTTGTTCATTTGGGGTCAGTAAGCTGTCAGAGAGAGGCTGATAACATTTTTTTCAGGTTGGCATCAATGGTCTTTCTGCAGCAGTACACAAGAAGCCTCCGGGATGACACTGATAAAGCTGGCCTGGCCCCACTGGGGTTTCTTGCACAAATGGATATTATAACTCCTCTCCCCTCTCACCTCGTCAATGGCATGGGGCTCTGGCAAAACAATAGATTAATGTCTCTCTTGGCTCTGGAAAATCTACACCGACGCACAGTATATTGAATAATTGTTTCCCTCTGTCCCATACCCCATTTGATAATATCCCCTTTTCCACCCTTAGCCTAGGTGGATCTGAAAGAAAGGGACCAAGGGGCACGATTTCAAAGAAATTCAAAAAATGGTAAAATGTCTGTTATTTGATATTTCAAGGCAGAGGATAGTCTGGTTAATACAAAGTTACTATGCAGTCCTCCTTTAATATTTAAGACTTCACAGTGTCTTAGGGTCACATCCGTGATAAATCAGACTGTGCATGTTAGATAAAACAGCACTCTCAATATGAGCGCCTTAGATAAGAGTTTCCCTCGGGTGCTCAGTGATATCTTTCAGCAGAGACAGCTTAGGGATGTTCTGTCTAATGAGAATACCCTAGTTTGGAGAAAAGGGGCATCATACTTCTGCCACAGCTGCTAAGGAACCAAAATGCCACTAGAGACCCTCGTTCTGCACAGGGCACACCAAAGGCAGGGAAGCCGCTGCTTCAGGGATGAGCCAGTTCTCTAGAATATAGCCGGACAGCAAGTGTCCCGGGATGATGGGGGCATATCACGATTCTCAAATGCAAACTTTCCAACCTCCCTATTAAAAGCTTATATTCATATGTAATTTTTCTATTAAAAAAATTCTATGTGGACAGCTAGGAAGAAAAATTAGAGTTTGCTGCCCGCATAGGAATACCTGGCTGGCTAAGTCATGTTGCTGACATCCCCTAGACAATGAGATCTGACCTAAGAAGATCTGTGGCTGCTACTTTTCAAGATTCGAGGAATATAGGCATTTCATCTCAGTTTTAAAAGTGACCTCTTTGGTTCTTAATAGAGAAGAAAAGGAAAAAGCAAAGAACCGTGCACACAAAACCCAATCAAACAGGATGAGTTTCATCTAGAATACTAAGCTAACATTCTACCCAAAAGTTAGTCTGCATGTGCACAATCTCTGTCTTTAAGTCCCTTTGCAGGGGAAGGTGATAGAAACTAGCCCGTGATTTTCAGGGACTGATTGGAGAATCAGAGCCCTGCATCAAAAGATAATCCATTACCGATTTTCTGCAGGCTTTTCTTATTTAGTGAGCCCTCACTGTTCTCTGAAGCGAGGGCCCGCTTAATTTTGCAATGACAGAGTTAAGACTACCCACCCAAAAAATGCTCTTTTTGGTCGCGTGTGCCCACAAATATACTAAAAACCAATGAACTGTCCACTTTAAATGCGTGAACTGTGTGGTGTAGGAATGATATCTCAAAAAAGCTGTTAAGAAATGTCCTGACCTTATCAATAAAAGAGGAAATAAAAGTTCCCATGTTGCAACATAATCCATCGCGTTGCTGTCACCCAGAATTATGTCTGCTCTCGGGGACTGTACAAGGTTTGTGCAGATGCAGTTTAACTTGGCTTTTTGTCATCACAGCTATGGAACCAGGATCAAGAGCAAGAGGTACAGGCCATGGAGCTTCCAGAACTCACTTGGAACAGGGGCTGATCACAGTTGGCGTAGGTGGGTAAACCAAGGCAACATTCACTCGCTCGCTGCCGTTCTTGGGGCAAATGATCTCTGCCACTCCTTCTGGTCTGGGCTGACTCAGCAACTCCCCTGCAGGAGAGAGAGAGAAAGAGAATGCATTAAGGCAATGTGCTCTAAAAATGGGATCATTTTGCAGAGAAGTACAGGTTTGGGGATGGGGAGGGAGATGGGCAGAGCAAGGAAGCGAAGGGTCTGTAGGCACTGGAGTCAAAGAACAAATGTGCAACCTCTGCTCCATCACCTAAATTCTCATCTGCATCAGAGAACCAGAACATTCTAACGGTCATGGCAGGACAGCCTGCGCCAGACAAAGGCAGCGTCTGTGGCTGTTCTGCTCACCTTCCCTTTCACAGGCTGACTCTGAAGGTCTTTATCTGTGCAGCACCAATTGAGTCAGGGGTCCCCAGAGCCCCAGGAAGCAAGGGCTGCCAAGGAGGTGTCCATAATTAGGATTCAGCGCAGATGGGATTCAGGCAGCCTTTCAACAAAGCCCTGCATAAGTGATCTGGAAACGCAGCAGACTGAAGGTGTTAACAAGGCAAGCAGTCTGAGACCTGCCCAGCCGCCCCCTGGCAGCAGGATTTCCCGGATAGGTAAGTGTGCACAGTTGGAATCACCAACACAACGCTATCTTGGGATTAATGGGGTCTAGTAAAAACAGATAATTAACTTAATGGATTACCATAACACCTAGAGGAAATCTGTTACTCTGCGCCCTGGATATAATCTCTCTCCGACTGGATCATTAAGTCCCTAAGAGCAGTAATGACTTCCATTCCTTAGATTCCTCCAACTGCCTCCGCTCACCCAGGACACCTGCCCTGCCCCAGAGAGGCCCCAGTAAACAGCTTCTGGCTGAGGAGGGTACACGGTACAGCTTAAATTGTCCTACTTACACCTAGAAAGTAAATAAACCAAACCAACGACACAAAACATTTGCCACTTGGAAAAAGACTGCTGAAATTAAAGCTTCAGCTGTATGGTAGCCATCCCACCTATGGCTGACTTGAAATGCTAGAGACATCAAAGTACAGCGGGCCCCCTTAATCCCCGGGGGACACGTTCCAAGACCCCCGGGGTTGCCTGAAACGGCAGATGGTACCAAACTCTACCTAGACTATGTTTTTTTCCTATACATACCTATGGTAGATACAGACTATGTTTTTTCCCTATACATAGATACCTATGGTAAAGTTTATTATTAGGCACAGTAAGAGATGACGATAACTAATAACATAGAACAATGACAACAACATGCTGTAATACAAGTTACGTGAATGTGATCTCTTTCTCCTGCTCTCTCGAAATATCTTATGTACCGTACTCACCTATTTTCAGACCACAGTTGACTGCGGGTAATTGAAACCCCAGGAAGCAAAACCTCCTTTGCCTCAAAATACCGTATTTCTAAACACCTCACCATCAGCAGAGCCCACACTGATGGAGCGTGCTACGCCCATGTGCCAGCAGTGAACCAAGCTTTAAATGGACATCTCATTCGATCTTCACAATGTCCCTGGGAGGGTTTATCTTTATTTTCCAATCGAGGAAGCTGATGCTGAGGGAAGTTATGCAATGAATCCAGCATCAGGAGCCGACATGTAGCAGGTTCACGTTGGGAATCCACTTCTGGGGCCCTTGCCCCCCCTCAGCCTAATGTCCCCCCAAAGCAGGGAGTGCTTCTTTAAGCCCGAGTACATCTTTCCCAGAGGAGCAATCTAAAAACACCATTTTTTAATAATGAACTAAGCACTGACATATTTATACTTTCATGAAAGACATTCATTTCCAGAGTTGAACAATTTTTATATACCATTGCACAATATGAACCGAATGTAATTTGAGTTCCTTAACTGACCCATTGTGAACACCAAACTACTGCAAAAGTTAATTTAGCATCATTAGCTAAATGGATACAAGGGTCTCAGAACTATACTCCGACACCAGCTAGGAAAAGATAAAGAGGCAAAATATAAAAATGCAAGTTAAAAATGTAAACGTGAAATGCTATCAACGTAACGAAATGAACCCAAGTGACAGCATGTTAGAGCTAGACTGAAACCCGGAAGGCATCCAGGCAAAATATCAATTTATAGCTCAGAAGCTCTCTGAGTTCAACAGATTTGTTCCAAGTGCCACAGAGAGCTTCCGCCTGTAACCCAACCAACCCACCACACAGGACTGGAACGAGAAAGTGCTTTGAATACCCCCAGTCTCTTAACACCCCTGGTCCTGGACCACCCTCACCTAATATTTTCGATTTCTACTTTCTGTCCCAAGATCATCCCCAAGGCTTGAACATAGACTGGGCTTCTCTAGTTTGTCCTGAAAACTCTCTCCTGGTTAGAATTTCACACCCAGGCCTCAGCTCCGTCTGCTTTTTAGCTGCCTGGACACCCAGTGGAATGACTGCAGATGCCAAGCCCCTGTCTCCAGCTCCCGTCCCTGGTAGCAGCCTGGCACAGCTGGCTTCTTGGCTGAATAGGTTGTACCTCTTGATGATCAGAAGATCAGTCTGTCTGATTTGAATGTGAAGTATGTGCAGCAGACTGTTAAACCTTGGTCACACCCAATTTCTATTGAACTAACAGCTTTACTGCCCACCCTAGCCCCCGACTCAGTGTCATACTCAGGTGGGTGACTGGTTTCGTTTGGGTCCTGTCCTAGCAGCACTGCCAGGCATGGAAAGAGAGCACGAAGGTGGGAGGCATCGAGAAGTTTCACACACGAAAAATACATCTGATGCTAACGAATGATGAGTGACAAGCAGAACACTTCACAATTTCCAACACATCCGCGTACGCCAACAACCCACTGCGTGACACCCGTTTTCTTAGGATTTAAGAAATGTGCCTAGATTAAGCACATAAGAAAAGCAGTCTTTTCCTCTCAAACCTATCTTAATAAACGAATATCTTCATATTTGTGTTATGTGTGTTAGCTAGCAAAATAGCAAGAGCTACTCATCCTCAGGTTTAACAAACTTGACCTTCAAAATAAAAGTGCATTCTCCCCCCGAGACCTAATAATGGAGGTGTAGGTGAGGACCGAAGAAGATGCAGGGGCCTGAGAGTTTAGAGCATGGCCTCTGTCACGGGGGATTCTCAGTGTCTACACAGGAAGACAGATGTGCAAAGAAACGTAATCCTGCATCTTCCCCGAGGAAATTTATAAGCCATGCGAAGGGAGTCATGAGAATGAGAGGTTAATCCTGATTCACGGGATTGGGAAAGACTTCAAAGAGTGGGGAACATCGAGCCAAAAGATCCAGTAACATTCATTATCAGAATGGAGAATAGTACAAGCACTGTACCACCATGTGTAATGCTGAAAAAACACGTCAAACTGAAAAACAAACCGAAGTTAACACAGGAAGAGAAAAAGATGATCACAGTAGCAACTAACACTTAGTAAGCACTTACTATGTGCTTGATGCTGTATAGTTATCCGAGTCCTCATGGCAACACTATGAGTTGGGGACTATTATTATCCTCGTTACACAGAAGGGGAAACTGAGGCTCAGAGGGGATAAGTAACTTGCCTATGGTCGCAGGGAGAAGCAGTAGTGCTAGGATTTGAACCCAAGACCATCTGACTCAACTCTTGACCATCCGATCATATTAATAGTATCTGGCGAGAAGGACACCATGATGATTTAGATAATACATACATGAAAAATACTAAACATTCTATCTGGCATCTAGTAAGTCCTTGACAGTATTATTACGCTCATGAGAAGATTTCATAAAAGCTTATTCTTCCAGATGTACAAAGAATTCATAGAAGCACATGATCAGTACCCAGATTCCCTGCAGGACAGCAATACACCAAGATTAGACCACAAACGATCACATGTAAAAACACCATCCCACCAAACATTTGAAAAATTCAAAATGAAAAAAAAAATTGTTGATTTTATTACCTATTTATATCACTAGCAAAAGTAAATTAAGAAGATAAATCCCAAAGTTGGTGGGAGATGTGTTAAAAAAAAAAAAAAGTTAAACAGAACATGTTAGCAACAGACTAAGAAAAAATATACATTTGACCTGGTATATTTCTATTTTCAGAAAATTGCTTAAAGGAAGCAGGCCTTTCTTACTGTCAAAATTATACAGTGACTGCTCACAGCAGAACTATTTATAATACCATGGAAACCTGGTAGCTCCTTCAAATGTCCAACAAGGGGGAAACGGCTAAAACCTATGACACATTAACAAGGTGGAATATTGTTTAGTCATTAAATATTATGAGACTGCCGTTTTTATGTGGAAATATAGATTTTAAAGTACATTCTAATTAGAAACACGAACTAAGAGCATAAATGAATTTAGAGTGAAATGAGCCATTCAAGATTAACTGGTCCTGAGGTTATTTACTTTTTTTTTTTTTTTTTTTTTTTTTTTAGAGATGGAGTCTCACTATGTCACCCAGGCTGGAGTGCAGTGGCATCATCATAGCTCACTGCAGCCTCGAACTCCTGGGCTCAGTGATCCTCCTTCCTCAGCCTCCCAAGTAGCTGGGACTATAGGTGCGCGCCATCACGCTTGGCTTACTTATTTTTATATTAAGTCAATAAGAAAAGAGACTAAAATATGCTTCTATGGAAGGGGGGATGCCGACTTTAAATGCTGATGCTGTCTCCTGTGTTTGGAGATTTTCTATTCACGTGCAGTTGGTTTATAATACGATCAGTCTTTTTGAAGGTGCAGAAATGTGGCCTGTTGTATAGAACACTGCATTTACTGTGACTGTCTTAGGCCACTACCCAGTCTCCTTGTGCCCACTAAAGTCATGAAAAAACTGTGCTTAATAAGCTCTCTGCCATTAGAATGTTACCAAATTCTTTTCAACTGTTTTTCCCCCTGCAGAAGAACACCAAGTTTCATTAGGATTTTTTTCTCATCAACAGAAGGTAAGTGAAATGAGCTCATCTTTTTCTGCTAATCATCAGAATTCTCAAATATTAGAGACATTATGCAAAATGCTAAAAATTTATACTGATGACTCCAACTACAGTATTAGAAGCCTAAAATTTTTTTTCTAACGCAAATAAAAGCTACTTCCTC